ATATATATAATATATATATATATATAATATTATACAGAGGAGTATCTGAGAGAGTTAGAGCAAAGGAAGGGGTAGCAGTAATGTTAAATGATCAGTTATGGAAGGAGAAAAGAGAATATGAATGTGTAAATTCAAGAATTATGTGGATTAAAGTAAAGGTTGGATGCGAGAAGTGGGTCATAAATAAGCGTGTATGCACCTGGAGAAGAGAGGAATGCAGAGGAGAGAGAGAGATTTTGGGAGATGTTAAGTGAATGTATAGGAGCCTTTGAACCAAGTGAGAGAGTATTGTGGTAGGGGACCTGAATGCTAAAGTAGGAGAAAGTTTTAGAGAGGGTGTGGTAGGTAAGTTTGGGGTGCCAGGTGTAAATGATAATGGGAGCCCTTTGATTGAACTTTGTATAGAAAGGGGTTTAGTTATAGGTAATACATATTTTAAGAAAAAAGGTATAAATAAAGTATACACGATATGATGTAGGGCGAAATGACAGTAGTTTGTTGGATTATGTATTGGTAGATAAAAGACTGTTGAGTAGACTTCAGGATGTACATGTTTATAGAGGGGCCACAGATATATCAGATCACTTTCTAGTTGTAGCTACACTGAGAGTAAAAGGTAGATGGGATACAAGGAGAATAGAAGCATCAGGGAAGAGAGAGGTGAAGGTTTATAAACTAAAAGAGGAGGCAGTTTAGGTAAGATATAAAAAGCTATTGGAGGATAGATGGGCTAATGAGAGCATAGGCAATGGGGTCGAAGAGGTATGGGGTAGGTTTAAAAATGTAGTGTTAGAGTGTTCAGCAGAAGTTTGTGGTTACAGGAAAGTGGGTGCAGGAGGAAGAGGAGCGATTGGTGGAATGATGATGTAAAGAGAGTAGTAAGGGAGAAAAAGTTAGCATATGAGAAGTTTTTACAAAGTAGAAGTGATGCAAGGAGGGAAGAGTATATGGAGAAAAAGAGAGAGGTTAAGAGAGTGGTGAAGAAATGTAAAAAGAGAGCAAATGAGAGAGTGGGTGAGATGTTATCAACAAATTTTGTTGAAAATAAGAAAAAGTTTTGGAGTGAGATTAACAAGTTAAGAAAGCCTAGAGAACAAATGGTTTTGTCAGTTAAAAATAGGAGAGGAGAGTTATTAAATGGAGAGTTAGAGGTATTGGGAAGATGGAGGGAATATTTTGAGGAATTGTTAAATGTTGATGAAGATAGGGAAGCTGTGATTTCGTGTATAGGGCAAGGAGGAATAACATCTTGTAGGAGTGAGGAAGAGCCAGTTGTGAGTGTGGGGGAAGTTCGTGAGGCAGTAGGTAAAATGAAAGGGGGTAAGGCAGCCGGGATTGATGGGATAAAGATAGAAATGTTAAAAGCAGGTGGGGATATAGTTTTGGAGTGGTTGGTGCAATTATTTAATAAATGTATGGAAGAGGGTAAGGTACCTAGGGATTGGCAGAGAGCATGCATAGTTCCTTTGTATAAAGGCAAAGGGGATAAAAGAGAGTGCAATAAAATTATAGGGGGATAAGTCTGTTGAGTGTACCTGGTAAAGTGTATGGTAGAGTTATAATTGAAAGAATTAAGAGTAAGACGGAGAATAGGATAGCAGATGAACAAGGAGGCTTTAGGAAAGGTTAGGGGGTGTGTGGACCAGGTGTTTACAGTGAAACATATAAGTGAACAGTATTTAGATAAGGCTAAAGAGGTCTTTGTGGCATTTATGGATTTGGAAAAGGCGTATGACAGGGTGGATAGGGGGGCAATGTGGCAGATGTTGCAAGTGTATGGTGTAGGAGGTAGGTTACTGAAAGCAGTGAAGAGTTTTTACGAGGATAGTGAGGCTCAAGTTAGAGTATGTAGGAAAGAGGGAAATTTTTTCCCAGTAAAAGTAGGCCTTAGACAAGGATGTGTGATGTCACCGTGGTTGTTTAATATATTTATAGATGGGGTTGTAAGAGAAGTAAATGCGAGGGTCTTGGCAAGAGGCGTGGAGTTAAAAATAAAGAATCACACACAAAGTGGGAGTTGTCACAGCTGCTCTTTGCTGATGACACTGTGCTCTTGGGAGATTCTGAAGAGAAGCTGCAGAGATTGGTGGATGAATTTGGTAGGGTGTGCAAAAGAAGAAAATTAAAGGTGAATACAGGAAAGAGTAAGGTTATGAGGATAACAAAAAGATTAGGTGATGAAAGATTGAATATCAGATTGGAGGGAGAGAGTATGGAGGAGGTGAAACGTATTCAGATATTTGGGAGTGGACGTGTCAGCGGATGGGTCTATGAAAGATGAGGTGAATCATAGAATTGATGAGGGAAAAAGAGTGAGTGGTGCACTTAGGAGTCTGTGGAGACAAAGAACTTTGTCCTTGGAGGCAAAGAGGGGAATGTATGAGAGTATAGTTTTACCAACGCTCTTATATGGGTGTGAAGCGTGGGTGATGAATGTTGCAGCGAGGAGAAGGCTGGAGGCAGTGGAGATGTCATGTCTGAGGGCAATGTGTGGTGTGAATATAATGCAGAGAATTCGTAGTTTGGAAGTTAGGAGGAGGTGCGGGATTACCAAAACTGTTGTCCAGAGGGCTGAGGAAGGGTTGTTGAGGTGGTTCGGACATGTAGAGAGAATGGAGCGAAACAGAATGACTTCAAGAGTGTATCAGTCTGTAGTGGAAGGAAGGCGGGGTAGGGGGCGGCCTAGGAAGGGTTGGAGGGAGGGGGTAAAGGAGGTTTTGTGTGCGAGGGGCTTGGACTTCCAGCAGGCATGCGTGAGCGTGTTTGATAGGAGTGAATGGAGACAAATGGTTTTTAATACTTGACGTGCTGTTGGAGTGTGAGCAAAGTAACATTTATGAAGGGATTCAGGGAAACCGGCAGGCCGGACTTGAGTCCTGGAGATGGGAAGTACAGTGCCTGCACTCTGAAGGAGGGGTGTTAATGTTGCAGTTTAAAAACTGTAGTGTAAAGCACCCTTCTGGCAAGACAGTGATGGAGTGAATGATGGTGAAAGTTTTTCTTTTTCGGGCCACCCTGCCTTGGTGGGAATCGGCCAGTGTGATAATAAAAAAAAAAAAAAAAAAAAAAATATATATATATATAAATAAAAAAGAGGTACAAGTATGAAGCATAATAATGGTATACAATACCGACAAGTTGATAAGTGAGACACATGTGCAACAGTTAAGTGTCTTTATTCCGAAACATTTTACCTACACAGTAGGATTCTTCAGTCAAGTACAGAGGAGACAGCAGAAGCAGTAGAGATGTAAAGATGATGTAATTAGTCCACCCTTGATGACAGTTTTCAAGGGTGATGGACTGATTACATTTTTTTACATCTCTACTGCATCTGCTGCCTCCTCTGTACTTGACTGAAGAAGCCTACAGTGTAAGTGAAACATTTTGGAATAAAGGTATGTACTTAACTGTTGCACATATGTCTTGCTTATCAAGTATGAAGAAATTTAGCAAACAGTATTATCAGAGAGCAGATGCACTGATGATTACATGAAGAGTATTGCATGTGATCATTTTTCAAAGTGCTGTCAAGGCAGCAAGTGGTGTATGTGGCATGAAAATACTTCTGAAATCTTTTGTGTGTGGAAAAAGATAAAACAAGGTTGTGGAAAAAACTGTTGAATACATAATTATAAGCTTTACAAAAGAAGCAGCAGTAAAACTTTGATTTATTGGACCTCGATATAATAGAGTTCAGGTTTAATGGACAAAATAAAGTCAACGGACAAAGTCCGTTGTTTACAGAACTCCATTATTGTTACGATCCACCAATTATACTGATTCTAGAAACAATGGACAAAGTCTGTCAACAACAAAGTCCATGGTTCACAGAACTGTTCATTTTTCTACTCATTTATTTTCAGCTGTGTGTATAGTACTGTCCTGTTAAATCATGGTGTCACTGTTTAAGAATTTAATACAAGTATAAAAATTATAAAGGAAAGTAAGGATAAAAAAAAAATGAAAAATTGTAGTATTCTATTATAAAATAGGCAAGATATTACTGGAAAATAAGTTGTTTTGGAAAGAAAAAATTCAAATGATAAGAGTGGAGGTGAAAAAATAATGAATATGGAGAAGTCTCTCTTAAAAAAAAAAGTGCTGAGTCACAGGAATAATAGGAGTTATTATCAACTAAAAAATCAACAATAGAAAATATTATGATGCATGGAAACAGCAAATATTCAAGTCCAAAAATTACATATAGAATGGTAAGAAAAATATGGAAAAAAAAAAATTGAATAATAAGAGTTGATTAGCATCTTATGACAGTTTGGAAATGCTATGTTCATGATGATAAATAAAAGTATAGAGAAATTAACAGGAATCAAGTACAGTATATGGGATTAGAGTGGCAACTAACAATCTGGAAGGATCAAGTTGAGTACACAAATAAAAACTACAAGGGAAACAATTTTTGGGGAAAACTATGTTTATAAAGAGGGTTCTAACCTCTAACAAGAGGTTCCTGAGAGAAACAAGGCATCACATTTAAATACTACTCTATCTCAAGTCTGTCTGCAAATGCTTTAATACTAATAAAATGGGCATCAATGGTAAACAGAATGATGCCAGTCATTATCATACAGGTTGGCTGGAAGGCATATGTGAACAGGTACATATACGGACAAAGAAACAAGTATGACAAGGTTTTGCTATAAGAAGTGATGCTTCACATCATGACTTTTAAAAGCTTAACTAAGAATGAAGTGTCCAAATACAGGCTCAAGCATACTTATTGTTGTCCACATGTTATCAAAGGAAAAGTAGCAATCCCAGTATACACATTACAACAATTTTCATAAAGTAAAAGGACACAAGTGCAACTAATGTGACATTTATTGTGGCAATGTTTCGCTCTCCAGGACCTTTATCAAGCTTGATAAAGCTCCTGGAGAGCGAAACGTTGCCACAATAAATGTCACATTAGTTGCACTTGTGTCCTTTTACTTTACATATTGTCGGTAATTCTACCAACTTTATTACAATTTTCATAAAAAAAAAAAAAAAAATGAAATTGCAATATTTAATGTATTAGTCAAAAATTGTAATTTAAACAGCTTAGTCTTAAATTGAAATACTATATGTAACTAGTAATTAACTGAGAATTATTTGGAAGTTCTTCACAACTCTTCCTTGCATAGAAGAGCCTAGCATGCATATGCATATACAAAGGGCTTGGACATACAGCAGGCATGTGAGTGTGTGTGTTAAATAAGAGTGAATGGAGACAAATGGTTTTTGGGACCTGATGAGCTGTTGGAGTGTGAGCAGGATAATATTTTGTGAAGGGATTCAGGGAAACTGGTTAGCCGGACTTGAGTCCTGGAGGTGGGAAGTATAATGCCTTCACTTTAAAAGAGGGGTGTTTGGGAAATATACCGTCAGGAATGACATCTGAACTGTCATATCTAAGTGCAAAGAGTGATTATGTGTGAATGATGGTGAAAGTGTTTCTTTCTGTTTTGGGTCACCCTGCCTCGGTGGGAGACGGCTGACATGTTGAATATACTATATAATTTTTTTTTAACATGTCAGCCATCTCCCACCAAGGCAGGTTAACCCAAAAAGAAACACTTGCACCATCATTCAACACTTTCACTATCATTCATACATAAACACTGTCTTTGCAGATACTACAGTTTAGATGTCACTCCAAACAGCCAATACAGTGGACCCCTGGCCAATGAAGGTATCGTCTAACGATAAATTCGTCCAACGAAGCGTTTGAGCGTAAAAATTTTGGCCCGACCAACAAAGAAAAACTCGACCAACATGATTCGTCCCTAACCTGTCCGTCCAGCCTGAGTGTCTTAGCTGCCCTGCCGTCATTGTTTACAAGCCAGGGTAGACGGTTCCATGCATATATTCGATAAATTTTGTATTATTCCATTGTTTTTAGTGCTTGTAACTGCTAAATAAGCCACCATGGGCCCAAAGAAAGCTTCTAGTGCCAACCCTGTGGTAAAAAGGGTGAGAAATACTATCGAAATACTATCGTATCACAGTCAGCTGCTGCTGCACCACCATCAGATGCTGCTGCACCACCATCAGCTGTTGCTGCACCACCGTCAGCTGTTGCTCCACCACCATCAGCTGTACTACTCGAAGATGTGGAGCGAGTGTTTTTGGTGTGGCTTAGCCTGGTGGTTAACGCTCTCGCTTCACATGGCGAGGGCCTGGGTTCGATTCCCAGCCAGAGTAGAAACATTGGGCGTGTTTCTTTCCACCTGTTGTCTATGTTCCCCATCAGTAAAATGGGTACCTGGATGTTAGTCGACTGGTGTGGGTCGCATCCTGGGACACTGACCTAATTTGCCCGAGATGCTCAGCATAACAAGTGGCTTTCTATGTAGTAGTATGTCATTGTTGTCAGCTAGGACTGTATACCATGTACATGTACTTGTAGTAAATAAAGATTATTATTATTATTATTAATTACTGAGAAACAATTAACCCCAGAGGGTTAGCCACCCAGGATAACCCAAGAAAGTCAATGCATCATCGAGAACTCTCTAACTTATTTCCATTGGGGTCCTTAATCTTGTCCCCCAGGATGCAACCCACACCAGTCGACTAACACCCAGGTGAACCGGAAAAAATGCCTGGAACTAGTGCTCATATTGGTGAATTTAAGGCCAGCAAAGGTTGGTTTGAGAGATTTAAGAATCGTAGTGGCATACACAGTGTGATAAGGCATGGTGAAGCTGAAAAATTCCAACCCCAACAAGTGTTCAATTGTGATGAAACAGGCCTGTTCTGGAAGAAAATGCCAAACAGGACCTACATTACTCAGGAGGAAAAGGCACTCCCAGGACACAAGCCTATGAAAGACAAGCTAACTCTCATGTTTTATTGTAATGCTAATGGAGATTGCAAAGTGAAGCCTTTGCTCATGTATCACCCTGAAGTTATTGTGCATGTCTCATTATTTTCTTTGTAGGGAAATGTACATTTCATGAAAAAAAAAAAAATTTTTTTAAACTTTTGGCTGTCTGGAACAGATTAATTGGATTTCTATTATTTCTTTTGGAGAAAATTAATTTGACTAACAATAAATTTGCCTAAAGATAAGCTTTCTGGAACGGACTAATATCGTTGGTCGAGGGTCCACTGTATTCCAAACCCCTCCTTTAAAGTGCAGACATTGTACTTCCTACCTCCAGGACTCAAATCCGGTTAACAAGTTTCCCTGAATCCCTTCACAAAATATTACCCTACTCACACTCCAATAGCTCAGCAGGTCCCAAAAACCATTCATCTGCATTCACTCTTATCTAACACACACACACACATGCCTACTGTATGTCCAAGCCTATTGTACACAAAACATCTACCCCCTTCCCCCATCCTTTCCAAGGACGACCCCTATACAATAATAATAATAATAACCAAATTAAGCACTATGCCAAAAAGGGTGATACAGCGCTGATACAATACAGATAGGGATTAATACTGTACATTAATAATACAGTCTAGCACTTACTGCTGTGGAAGCCCAGTTATACCAAAAAGTTTTTATTTCACTTCGTAACTTCATTTCAGAAATAAATTTTTAAACAAGTATTCTTGATTAACATAACTATGGCACCAAAAAATAGTTTTAATAGGCATGTACAGATGAGTGCATGAGCAAGAGTAAATAAATGGGGAAGTTAGAAGGAAGTGTGTGTGTGTGTGTACTTACCTGCATGTACTGTACATATGTACTTACCTACCTATTTGTGGTTGCAGGGGTACAGTCACAGCTCCTGGCCTTGCCTCTTTGCTGGTAGCTGTGTGTGCATGCATACACTATGTTCTTGTTTGTGCATGCATATGTCTGTGTGTGAGCATGCATGTGTATATATGTGTGTGCATGTGTGTAAATGTGTGTACTCACCTAATTGCATGTGTATGTGTGCATGTGTGTATGTGCACATGTGTGTGTGCATGTATGCACATGTATGTGCATGTGCATGTGTGCATGCGCATGTACTCACCTATTTGTGGTTGCAGGGGTCGAGTCATAGCTCCTGGCCCCACCTCTTCACTGATTGCTACTAGGTCCTCTCTCTCCCTGCTCCATGAGCTTTATCATACCTCGCCTTAAAACTATGTATGGTTCCCGCCTCCACTACTTCACTTTCTAGGCTAATCCACGGCTTGACTACTCTATGACTGAAGAAATACTTCCTAACATCCCTTTGATTCATCTGAGTCTTCAACTTCCAATTGTGACCTCGTGTCTCTGTGTCCCATCTCTGGAACATCCTGTCTTTGTCCACCTCGTATATTCCGCGCAGTATTTTATATGTCGTTATCATGTCTCCCCTGACCCTCCTGGCCTCCAGTGTCGTCAGGCCGATTTCCCTCAACCTTTCTTCGTAGGACAATCCCCGTAGCTCTGGGACTAGTCTTGTTGCAAACCTTTGCACTTTCTCTAATTTCTTGACGTGCTTGACTAGGTGTGGATTTCAAACTGGTGCTGCATACTCCAGTATGGGCCTGACGTAAATGGTATACAGAGTCTTGAACGACTCCTTACTGAGGTATCGGAACGCTATCCGTAGGTTTGCCAGGCGCCCGTATGCTGCAACAGTTATCCGATTGATGTGCGCGCGCGCGCGCGTGTGTGTGTGTGTGTGTGTGTGTGTGTGTGTGTGTGTGTGTGTGTGTGTGTGTGTGTGTGTGTGTGTGTGTGTGTGTGTGTGTGTACTCACCTAATTGTGGTTGCAGGGGTCGAGACTCAGCTCCTGGCCCTGCCTCTTCACTGAATGCTACTAGGTCCTCTCCCTGCTCCATGAGCTTTATCATACCTCATCTTAAAGCTATGTATGGTTCCTGCCTCCACTACCTCACTTGCTAGACTATTCCACTTCCTGACTACTCTATGACTGAAGAAATAGTACTTCCTAACATCCCTTTGACTCATCTGAGTCTTCAACTTCCAAGTGTGACCCCTTGTTTCTGTGTCCCCTCTTTGGAACATCTTGTCTCTGTCCACCTTGTCTATTCCATGCAGTATTTTGTATGTCATTATCACATCTCTCCTAATCCTCCTGTTGTTCAGTTAGGGTTAGGAAGAGATTTGCCGGTACTTCAGTGTTGTCAGTCCGATTTCCCTTATCCTTTCTTAGTAGGACATTCCCCTTAGTTCCAGAGCTAAGGGGAATATCCTATGAAGAAAGGTTAGGGGAAATCGGCCTAATGACACTGGAGGACAGGAGGGTTAGGGGAGACATGGCAACGACATACAAAATACTGCGTGGAATAGACAAGGTGGACAGAGACAGGATGTTCCAGAGTGGGGACACAGAAACAAGGGGTCACACTTGGAAGTTGAAGACTCAGATGAGTCAAGGTGGTAAGGTGAAAATGAATGTGTGTGCATGTGTGTGTGTGTGTGTGTGTGTGTGTGTTTTAGTCACCTAATTGTTGCAGGGGTCAATTCATGTGTGTATATGTATGCATGTGTACTCACCTAGTTGTGGTTGCAGGGGTTGAGTCACAGCTCCTGGCCCCACCTCTTCACTGGCTGCTACTAGGTCACTCTTCCTGCTCCATGAGCTTTATCATACCTCTTCTTAAAGCTATGTATGGATCCTGCCTCCACTACATCACTTCCCAGACTATTCCACTTCTTGACAACTCTGTGACTGAAAAAATACTTCCTAACATCCCTGTGATTCATCTGAGTCTTCAACTTCCATCTATGACCCCTTGTTGCTGTGTCCCATCTCTGGAACATCCTGTCTCTGTCCACCTTGTTGATTCCTCTCAGTATTTCATATGTCATTATCACATCCCCCCTCTCTCTCCTGTCTTCCAATGTCGTCAGGTCGATTTCCCTTAACCTCTCCTCATAGGATATAACCCTTTAGCTCCAGGACTAATCTTGTTGCAAACCTCTGCATTTTCTCTAGCTTCCTTATATACTTGGGTAGGTGTGGGTTCCAAACTGGTGCTGCATACTCCAATATAGGCCTAACATACACAGTGTACAGGGTCCTGAATGATTCCTCATTAAGATGTTGGTGGGCTGTTCTTAGATTTGCTAGGCACCCACATGCTGCAGCACTTATTTGGTTGATGTGCGCCTCCAGAGATATGCCTGGTATTATACTCACCTTGAGATCCTTTTCCTTGAGCGAGGTTTGTAGTCTCTGGCCCCCTAGACTATACTCCGTCTGCGATCTTTGCCCTTCCCCAATCTTAATGACTTTGCATTTGGTGGGGTTGAACTCCAGGAGCCAGTTGCTGAACGACACCTGCATCCTGTCCAGATCTCTTCGTAGTTCTCCCTGGTCCTTGTCTGATGTGTGTATATGTATGCATCTATGTACAGTATACTGCAACTTCTTGGGATCTTAATACTTGGGAATTCTTCGCTTGCCTAACCCTTGAGCATGACCTACTTCCACATTGAACAAATGTGACGCCACCTACGACTGCTGCACCTCTCCTGCCTACGGTTTATAAGCTACTTCTCCGCACATATGCTGTATTCTATTCAAGATTGATGGACTGGCCACGTTGACTCTAAGGTTGAGGGACTGATTACCTCATTCTCCTCCTGTTCTTCAAGATTCTCCTTTGTATGGACTGATGAAGCCACTGTGTGGCAAAACGTTTCCTCAATAAAGATACCCAAGAGTTGCACATGTGTCTAATTCATCTATGTAGTATATGTATGCATGTGTGTGTATGCATATGTGTATATATATGCATGTGTGTATGTATATAGGTAGTAGGTTGGTAGACAGTAACCGCCCAGGGAGGTATTACCGTCCTGCCAAGTGAGTGTAAAACGAAAGCCTGTAATTGTTTTACATGATGGTAGGATTGCTGGTGTCCTTTTTTCTGTCTCATAAACATGCAAGATTTCAGGTATGTCTTGCTACTTCTACTTACACTTAGGTCACACTACACATACATGCACAAGCATATATATACACACCCCTTTGGGTTTTCTGCTATTTTCTTTCTAGTTCTTGTTTTTGTTTATTTCCTCTTATCTCCATGGGGAAGTGGAACAGAATTCTTCCTCCGTAAGCCATGTGTGTTGTAAGAGGCGACTAAAATGCTGGGAGCAAGGGACTAGTAACCCCTTCTCCTGTATAAATTACTAAATTTAAAAAGAGAAACTTTTGTTTTTCTTTTTGGGCCACCCTGCCTTGGTGGGATACGGCCGGTTTGTTGAAAGAAAGAAGAAGTGTGTATGTACATGTATCTAAGTATTCTTATTACCATGTTTCATATATCATTAGCATCCCTGTTGGTCCTAATCATATTAACATCTATACTGATGTTCACATTTTCAGAAATACAATTCAACATGCATTAATCTCAAAATATCATTGTTCATATTCCAAACTGTTACAGTTTTTAATGTCAAATATTGTAAACTATAGCAATATTTCATTATAAGTTATCTGTAATGCAGCCTGAAATGTTCTGCATAACAAGGGGCTTTCTATATAATTTCTATATAATTAATAGGTTGGTAGACAGCAACCACCCAGGGAGGTACTACCGTCCTGCCAAGTGAGTGTAAAACGAGAGCCTGTAATTGTTTTACATGATGGTAGGATTGCTGGTGTCTTCTGTCTGGCTCATAAATATGCAAGATTACAGGTATGTCTTGCTACTTCTACTTACACTTAGGTCACACTACACATACATGTACATGTTTATTTATACACACTCATCTGAGTTTTCTTTGACTTTATCTTAATAGTTCTTGTTCTTATTACTTTTCCTTTTATAACCATGGGGAAGTGGAATAAGAATCTTTCCTCCATAAGCCATGCGTGTTGTAAAAGTCAACTAAAATGCCGGGAACAATGGGCTAGTAACCCCTTTAGCTGTAATAATTACTAAAAAGAAAAAGAAGAAGAAAATTGTCAAAGTGGGATGTCTGAATGTGCGTGGAGGTTGTGCGAATGATAAGAAAGAGATGGTTGTGGATGTTATGAATGAGAAGAAGCTGGATGTCCTGGCTTTAAGTGAAACAAAGCTGAAAGGGCTGGGAGAGTTTCAGTGGAGAGGAATAAATAGGATTAGGTCAGGGATTTCAAATAGATTTAGAGCTAAAGAAGGAGTAGCAATAATGTTGAAGGATAAGATATGGCAGGAAAAGAGGGACTATAAATGTATTAATTCAAGGATTATGTGGAGTAAAATAAAGGTTGGATGTGAAAAGCGAGAAGAGAGAAGTGTCGAAGAGAGAGAGATTTTGGGAAATGTTGAGTGAATGCATAGGGAGTTTTGAACCAAGTGTGAGAGTAATGGTGGTTGGGGATTTCAATGCTAAAGTGGGTAAAAATGTTGTGGAGGGAGTAGTAGGGAAATTTGGGGTGCCAGAGGTAAATGAAAATGGGGAGCCTTTAATTGAGCTATGTGTAGAAAGAGGTTTGGTAATAAGTAATACATATTTTATGAAAAAGAGGATAAATAAATATACAAGGTATGATATAGCACGTAATGAAAGTAGTTTGCTAGATTATGTATTGGTGGATAAAAGGTTGATGGGTAGGCTCCAGGATGTACACGTTTATAGAGGGGCAAGTGATATATTGGATAATTATTTAGTTGTAGCTACATTTAGAGTAAGAGGTAGCTGGGACAAGAGGAAAATGGCAACAATAAGTAAGAGGGAGGCAAAAGTGTATAAATTAAGGGAGGAGGAAGTTCGGGTGAGATATAAGCAACTATTGGCAGAAAGGTGGGCTGGTGCAAGTATGAGTAGTGGGGGGTTGAAGAGGGTTGGAATAGTTTTAAAAATGCAGTATTAGAATGTGGGGCAGAAGTTTGTGGTTATAGGAGGGTGGGTGCAGGAGGACAGAGGAGTGATTGGTGGAATGATGAAGTAAAGGGTGTGATAAAAGAGAAAAAGGTAGCTTATGAGAGGTTTTTACAAAGCAGAAGTGTTATAAGAAGAGTAGAGTATATGGAGAGTAAAAGAAAGGTGAAGAGAGTGGTGAGAGAGTGCAAAAGTAGAGCAGATGAAAGCATGGGAGAGGCACTGTCAAGAAATTTTAACTTGTTTACTCAGCCTAGGGAACGAATGGATCTGTCAGTTAAAAACAGAGTAGGGCAGTTAGTAGATAGGGAGATGGAGGTATTGGGTAGATGGCGAGAATACTTCGAAAAACTTTTAAATGTCGACGAAGAAAGGGAGGCAGTAATTTCATGCACTGGCCAGGGAGGTATACCATCTTTCAGAAGTGAAGAAGAGCAGGATGTGAATGTGGGGGAGGTACGTAAGGCATTACATAGAATGCAAAGGGGTAAAGCAGCTGTAACTGATGGGATTATGACAGAAATGTTAAAAGCCGGGGGTGATATAGTGTTTGAGTGGTTGGAGTGGTTTAATAAATGTAAGAAAGAGGGAAAGGTCCCTAGGGATTGGCAGAGAGCATGTATAGTCCCTTTATATAAAGGGAAGGGGGACAAAAGAGACTAAAATTATAGAGGAATAAGTTTATTGAGTATACCAGGAAAAGTGTACGGTAGGGTTATTATTGAAAGAATTAGAGGTAAAATAAAACGTAGGATTGCGGATGACCAAGGAGGTTTTAGAGTGGGTAGGGGATGTGTAGATCAAGTGTTCACATTGAAGCATATATGTGAACAGTATTTAGATGAAGGTAGAGAAGTTTTTATTGCATTTATGGATTTAGAAAAGCAATATGATAGACTGGATAGGGAAGCAATGTGGCAGATGTTGCAAGTACATATATGGAATAGGTGGTAAGTTACTAAATGCTGTAAAGAGTTTTTATGAAGATGGTGAGGCTCAGGTTAGGGTATGTAGAAGAGAAGGAGACTACTTCCCGGTAAAAGTAGGTCTTACACAGGGATGTGTAATGTCACCATGGTTGTTTAATATATTTATAGATGGGGTTGTAAAAGAAGTAAATGCTACGGTGTTCAGGAGAGGGGTGGGATTAAATTATGGGGAATCAAATACAAAATGGGAATTGACACAGTTACTTTTTGCTGATGATATTGTGCTTATGGGATATTCTAAAATAAAACTGCAAAGGTTAGTGGACAAGTTTGAGAGTGTGTATAAAGGTAGAAAGTTGAAAGTGAAGATAGCAAAGAGTAAGGTGATGAGGGTATCATATGATTTAGATAAAGAAAAATTGAATATCAAATTGGGGAGGAGGAGAATGGAAGAAGTGAATGTTATCAGATATTTGGGAGTTGACGTGTCAGTGGATGAATTTATGGAGGATGAGGCTAATCATAGAATTGATGAAGGAAAAAAGGCGAGTGGTGCACTGAGGCATATGTGGAGACAAAAAAACTTTATCTATGGAGGCAAAGAAAGGAATGTATGAAAGTATAGTAGTACCAACACTCTTATATGGGTGTGAAGCTTGGGTTGTAAATGCTGCAGTGAGAAGGCAGTTGGAGGCAGTGGAGATGTCCTGTCTAAGGGCAATGTGTGGTGTAAATATTATGCAGAAAATTCGGAGTGTGGAAATTAGGAGAAGGTGCGAAGTTAATAAAAGTATTAGTCAGAGGGCTGAAGAGGGGTTGTTGAGGTGGTTTGGTCATTTAGAGAGAATGGATCAAAGTAGAATGAGATAGAGAGTATATAATCTGTAGGGGAAGGAAGGCAGGGTAGGGGTCGTCCTCGAAAAGGTTGGAGGGAGGGGGTAAAGGAGGTTTTGTGGGCGAGGGGCTTGGACTTCCAGCGAGCGTGCATGAGCGTGTTAGGAGTGAATGGAGACAAATGGTATTTGGGACCTGACGAGCTGTTGGAGTGTGAGCAGGGTAATATTTAGTGAAGGGATTCAGGGAAACCGGTTATTTTTATATAGCCAGACTTGAGTCCTGGAAATGGGAAGTACAATGCCTGCACTTTAAAGAAGGGGTTTGGGATACTGGCAGTTTGGAGGGATATGTTGTGTATCTTTATATGTGTATGCTTCTAAACTGATGTATTCTGAGCACCTCTGCAAAAACAGTGATTATGTGTGAGTGAGGTGAAAGTGTTGAATGATAATGAAAGTATTTTCTTTTTGGGTCACCCTGCCTCAGTGGGAGACGGCCTATCTGGAGAGTTTATCTGGAGAGAGTTCCGGGGGTCAACGCCTAAGGTCAACACCTAAGGAGGCCTGTGACCAGGCCTCCTTAGGTCAGTGTCCCAGGATGCGACCCACACCAGTCGACTAACACCCAGGTACCCATTTTACTGATGGGGAACATAGACAACAGGTGGAAAGAAACACGTCCAATGTTTCTACTCTGGCTGGGAATCGAACCCAGGCCCTCACCGTGTGAAGCGAGAGCTTAACCACCAGGCCACCAGAGCCCCCTACTTGTTAAAAAAAAAAAAAAAAGTGTCATTTTCTCCAATTGTATACTGTTCAGTACTCCACTTCATAAAGTTGTTTGTTTGTGTGTGGGGGGATATACATTTTTTTTTTTTTGCATATGGATGTGTATGCACACATTTTTAATCCTGTCAAACAAGATATCAAAGTCAGTAAGTTTTCAAGTGGTCATTCAGGTATTCAATCCATAGGAAATCATGAGCATGACTGAGAAAGTAGACAGAAAGAATAGGCTGATTATCAGAAACTGTGGCTCAGCTGTATGTAATGGTAGTAATTTTCTATTCTGAAAGTCCAGATGCACTGATAGATAATTCATAAGATAACATTTTAAAGTCATGCTCCTCACCTTCAAATGTATGGCTGCTATTATATTATCATTATTACTACTATATTTAAAAACAAGTGCCAAACCTATATGAATCATACAGCAAACTCCTACATAACACACGTCCATGGAACACATGCGTCATGTAAATGACCACCTCTCACAGGTAGTTTGTCACTTACCAGCTTTTGGTGTACCCAGAAGTTATATATATATACACACACACACACACAGAGCTGAGTCTCGACCTCTGCAACCACAATTAGGCGAGTATGTACGTACACACACACGCGCACACTCACACATGTTGGAAGTTGGAAGTTGAAGACACAGATGAATCACAGGGATGTTAGGAAGCATTTCTTCAGCCACAGAGTAGTCAGGAAGTGGAATAGTTTGGGAAGCGATGTAGTGGAGGCAGGATCCATACATAGCTTTAAGCAGAGGTATGATAAAACTCACGGTTCAGGGAGAGTGACCTAGTAGCAACCAGTGAAGAGGCGGGGCCAGGAGGAGAGGCGGGGCCAGGAGCTTGGACTCGACCCCTGCAACCTCAACTAGGTGAGTACAACTAGGTGAGGTGAGTACACACGCACACACACACACATACACAAAAAACTATTTTTGAATTCCTCTACGGAAGTGAGCTCCACATAGGGTTTCAAAAATAGACGTGATCTGACTCAAACACGTTAGTAGATGAATGGTTCAGAGAACCAACATGTGTCTAATTTATCAAACACGTTAGTCAGCTAAATGTTAAGAAGCAAGATCAAGAGCTGGAGCTCACCTTCCCTAAACAAAACAAGCAATTAATTACAAATAGTCCACTACACTGCTGTTTTTCACTTCCCATTTTATATATACTTCATGCAGTTTTGGGTATCATTAATCTGGAGGCCCATCCTTATTCATATAACAAGAACCAGTCTAGTAATGCTGGTAAGGTGAACAAATTTAAATAAAATTACCAAGGTGGAAGTGCTTGATACTGGTAATATGTGTCCTGACAATATCATGAAAGTACTACATAACATGAGTTTTAATGAAAGAAGAGAGGGACTTTGCAATATAGATAAAGCCAACCTAAGAACAACAATGAAGAATAAGACACATTAGCAACACTTGAGTATCTTGAATGATACTCAAGAGTTGCTAATGATGTCTTATTCATCAACATATTAGTATAGCATACAATAAATGATATGAAACAATGAAGTCTAAGTACTGCATTAAGATATGAAACATGCCCTGATGATTTAGATTAAAAACCAATGAAGATATTGAGTTTTCCTTCTAATGATCAATCATGAAAGAAAGGGTTGAACAAATTCATCAGAGCCTGCCAAGTACCTGTAGAATACTCTGGATTTGTTGGGTGGCTGGATGGATTCAGGCAGTCAAAAATAACCAAATTTTTAAAAAGCATTATAAGCCATTCACCATCATAACCAGTTGCTGGACCGGTTACAGCAAGTTTTTGTGCCAATACTTTTCAAACAGCTTGGCATCATGAATTTTTTTGTGATAGGCTAAGTAGCATGGCTTCCCCACATGTTTTAGCATATATAATTCATGGTCAGCAAATTCTTGGTAGGACCAGGAATATAGATCTATGCATTACTAAACATCAATATAGATTATACGTACAGTATATACATAAACGTACAGTATGTACATGGATTATATGCTGGTTAATACAGTATATAGAACTTTCAGGCTAATAAATTTTTAATGAATAAATTCCATAAGCCCACTCATCATCAAATTTCTAAAACGTAACTTTGATGCTAACAGCAAAATGAAATTTGTCCAACATGAGTAAGAAACTATACGACAGGCAGGGATAGAACCCATGATCAGAGAGTCATAAAACTCCAGGCTGACACGCTAGCCGCTGGACCACTGGAGTTTTATGACTCTCTGATCGCGGGTTCTATCCCCACCCGTGGTATGGTTTGTTTGCATTCGTTCATTATGATTTCGTGAGTCATGAGTAAGAAAGGTATTGCTTGATCATACAAATTCGTCTTACAATGAGAAATACAGAATGAGTTTAACTATAGTATGTATTACTGTTAAGTAAAATCAAATCTGAACAAAAATTAAATGAGAGATTGTATTCTGTTCAAAGTTACTGCTAACAGACAGAAAAAGCAAATTTGATAAACCATTACACTGTACTGTACTGCATTAAACATCTGATTAGGTATGCCAAGAGATTTGAAAAGAAATATTACAATATTTTACTGTCATGTAGTGAAAAATGGAACAAAGTATAATGCATGTATTTCTTCATCCCTCTTGCATTACAAATTTCCTACATGAACACACTTTCTAATACATTTTGTAACAATATACTGTTGTTATATTTAGCTGTTTTATGAATACTGTTAGCATTGACTCAGTCAAGCTCAGCAAAATGTTGTGGAACATGCAGCTACAGCATTCAGCAACAACATATATCATGTCACTGTGGATACAAGATTATGAGGTCAGACAGAGGTGGCATGAGCATTCTGAGCAGTGCACTGCACATTGTTAAGCAAGTAATAAGTGTCTTCATTATTCTAAGCAGGTGTTTTTGGCAACATATGATGGAATAAAGCAGAGTCATGTAAATCATCAACTCACTAGTCTTAGTCTGCTCTTGATCACACTGCATACGGCATCTATTTACAGGGGGAAAAAGAAGATTCATATATTTGTGCCTTATATTGTGCCACCTTATTGTAATGGCTCTGCAAATTTCATTGTAAAAAATATATATTGATAATTAAAGGTTGTCTGGTCAATCAAAATTTAGCAAAGCCTCTCTTATCAGATATTACAAAAAAATTTAAATCATAAAAAAAAAAAAAATGAAATGGTGAAACCATGTATTACAATTACAGTGTGTTTGATGTGAAGAATAATTTGGGTATGGGTATACACTGTTGAGTACAAGAAACTTATGGACTGTCAAGAACTAATCCTGTGAAAAATTAGATTATGTATTGATTTTTTCACCCAACTAGTTACTAGTCAGACTCAACAGTGCTTAACCTGCCAAACAGAGAGATATCATTCACACCACCAGACCACTAACAGTCAGACTTAAATTTCTATTTTACTTTATTTTGTCATTTAGAAAATGTTTAGAAGAATCAATAAATGTTTAATGTTTTCTTCTTGCAAAAACCTGAATGATGACCATATTAATTTCAACTCAGTGTAGAAGCACGTCACTGTAACAAGTGACATACTTGTGACCAGTTTCGAGGTATTCTGCTCTCAAAATCTGGCATGAGGACAAACTTCATTGTTGGATACCTGATCAATGAGGCTCTTACTGCCATTGACCCACAGGCCAACATAGCCATCACAAACAAGTTAATCTAACTCACAGTCAGTGTAGTTTTCATGATCACATTAATTACAATAACTCAGCCTTATGACTTTCGTAAGCAATTTATCAACATATTCCTCAAAAGCTGAGACATTTAGTGTTACAAAACAACACACAAATGTGAACATGATGAATAAGTAGGTCAATGTGGTCCATGGAAAATAACATTCATATAACAGTGACCTACATTATCATCTTAATTCTTCACCATGAAATTAAATAGACTACAATTCAAAAGGCATGTTACCATGATCTCTTTACCCACATTAGTCAAGATATCTTCTACAATGCTCTAAACTAAAATGAATGGGTAAAATGTTCAAAACATGAATGCTATTACGAAATCACGCATATACAGATGACCATGTATTTCTTCATATAAAGGGACTATTTAAGTGAGTTTATGCATATTTGTTTACAGTGAATTTACTGGTATCTATCTATATGTGCATGTTTTTAATTGCCTATGTAAACTTTGTCTTTGACTATATTATTATTATTATAATCAAAAAGAGTCTTTGACTATAAAAACGAGTGTATGACTATGTACATTTATGCAAAGATATATGCAAACCTGACACTCATTTACATATTTGATCTACATTTTAAAATTAGTTTGTTCTTCTACTCAGAATTAATAAAAATAGATTGCCCTTTTATTAACTATAATAAGACAAAACTGAAGTGTCATCCAACAAAGAAAATCATTATAACCTCAACATAGGTAAGATGCACAAACAGGTGAGTACTCTTCTCACTAACATCATTGTAGTTACCCAAATTAAGTTGAATTTACCTTTGCTGACTGTGATCTTTCAAGGACACACTTTCCTTTTCATTACTTTTGTCAATATCTGGGTGTTTACTCAAGCATTCTATTTCTACCTGACTATTTGCATTAACTTTGCATGTTTCACTGTCACCACCAATAACATTTTCAGGTTTGTCTTTACATACCTCACCATTTTTAGTTGAATCTTGATTTTCACATACCACATTTTTACTTTCTACAGCTTCTTTTATGTTTGTCTGTAAAACCATTTTATTATTTTCAATTAGTATATCTTCTTTCATATAACCCTGAAATTCTGGCATTCTCTCATCCTTATTTAAAATGACCTGTTCCTTTCCTTCTATGAGTAATTCCTTCACATTTTCTAAAGGAATACTATCACCATTTATTCTGGCAATGCCCATTTGTAGGGCTAGGCTAGTTTTCTTAGGATCTTTGATGGTTGTGCAAGCTGCATATGTCACTTCATCCAAGCTAGCTAGTTGAGGCAAAATCTGTAAAAGCCATTGAAAATTAGTCACCCCTGCTAAAGATCACTAACAGACTCAATACTTCTCATTATTACACAGTGAGACCAAAAGTTTAAAAATATACTAGGTCCTAGGTCCATCATTGCCTGCCTATTGTATGTGTTTTGTGCCAACTATTAAACACTGACCTTGATCCCTAATATGTCATGGAGATAATATTCTATACTGTTAATATTTGATGCTTGAATCATAATTTAATCAAATATATAATACTGTAATATAATGGCTACAACTGGTTGTGTTATGGTATATGTACTGTTAAAATGAAGTATACAAATGTGAGGAAACTAGGTGATAATATATTACATGAAAACTGAAAAGACAGGCATTAAGAAACAAAAAGAATCCTTACAATAAATCATTTAAATGGGGGTTTTAGAAACAAAAATTATTTATGATGGTGACCATAAGTTGGAGATCAGCAAGAGAGTTTAAAAAACCAACTGCATAAGTGACTGCATTTTTTAGCTTACAGCCATGATCAACAAAGATTGATAAACAGGTGAGCGTGAACCACAGGTTATCCTAACTGCTTCATATGGTACTTCTGGATGTAATATACCCAAAATACTGTCTGAAATAATAACCAGAACAAAGCTTTTCCAGTGTCTCTGTTGACTTCTCACTCATATTTAAATCTTATCATGATAAAATGAGTGGTAATTAGCAGACAGAGAATGTACAGTCTTCAGTTAATTGTTAGCAACCATAAAAATAGAAGTTTTAAAACTAAATTAAATGTGAATTAGGCAAATCATATACAAGTGTCTGACAAGTTGTCAGACACTGCAACATCATGGAATCTTGATTCTGAGGACATGTACATAACCTTCACGACTACGACAACTACTACGGTAACTACTACTACAACTACCCATCTCTTTGGGAAGAACCTACTTCCACTGGGGAATCCCGCCTACCAGTGACTATGCCTTCGTCTGCTACACCTGACGTTACTTTATAAGCGCCAGACTCCTTGCTTCTGCTTCAGAATCTCCACGACTACGGTGCTCTTCGCACCTACTCCAAGGTTGAGGGACTGATTACCTCACCTTCTGTACATAGTCTTACTGTCTTCAAGTTATGTCCTAGAATTTGTATTGATAAAGCCACTGGATGGCGAAACGTCTACAATAAAGATACCCAGATGTTGCACACGTGTCTTAATTTCATAAAGAATTTTAAATCTGGGGTGGAGAGGAGAGGTACAAGCTGCCACAGGAAATGTTTGGGTGAGAGGAGACAAGTGTTTTGTAGGATTTGACATGCTGTTGGAATGTAAGCAAGGTAACATTTATGAAGGGATTCAGGGATACTGATTAGCCAGACTGAATCCTGAAGGTGAGAAATACAGTGCCAACACTCTGAAAAAGGGATGGAGATATTGCTTTCTGAGAGGTCATCTAAACTGTGAAGTTTGCACACATGTGGCGAGTGAATGTTTCTTTTTTTTTGGGGTGGCAGATGGTCTCTGTCAGGGGTGGGCAAACTGCAGCCCACCAAGATAAAGACATATATTCATGTATATGCAGCTGAATGAGCAAAACTTTGTTCATTTTCCTCTGTTGAAAACACAAACTGTTACACAAGCATTATCAGACAAGTACAGTTTCCAGATGATGGCTTTAGAAGTCTGCCCACCCCTGGTCTATGTAGTACAAAAATATATATGCTGTATACCTAGAAGAGTGCTGTAGGTAACTGAGGTAAAATGACACAATAATGGCTTAAAGAAAGAAAATGCCAGGTGTACAAAAGCAAAGCAGAGAAGTCATTAGTAATTACCTATTTGTAAAATCAATTAGCTCTATGTCTATAAAGATAACTCTAATATTAAACTGCTCACTAGGTGACTAAAGAGGAATCACTTTCCTTTCCCAAGTACTACAGTAGAACTCCTGTATATGGGGGTTTGGTTTTTGAGGTTTCAGTTATCCACAGTTTATGATGGACCAAAAAAAACCCTTAATTTTTGCTTAATAATGGCTCCAAAGCACAAAAGTAGTGATGCTGGCAGGTCTTCAAAGTCTAAGAGAAGACATCAGTGAAAAAGTGCTAATTCTCAACTTTTTTTTTTTAATAAACTGGCCGTATTTCACCAAAGCAGGGTGACCCAAAAAGAAAAATAAGTTTTTATTTTTACCTTTAGTAATTTATACAGAAGGGGTTACTAGCCCCTTGCTCCCTGCATTATTTTCACCTCTTACGACACACATGGCTTATGGAAGAAGAATTCTTTTCCACTTCCCCATGGAAATACAGTGGAACCTCGTTTTTCGGCTGCTGTGTTTATTGGCCGATTTGTATTTAGGCCAGTTTTTCAGCGAAAATTTTGCTCCATATTTTGGCTGTTGCCTCATATATTGGCTGTATTAGACGTGGCCCGCCAGGATGCCTCACGTAGGTGAGTCAGTGTCCTTCTGTCTGTCGGCGAGTGAGCATATACATACTACTCGCATTCATCCAAACCTTTCCTTAAAATCTGTTGTTTTTGGTGTTTTTTTTTTATCAAGTGCGACTGTGAAATAAGTCACCATGGGCCCCAAGAAAGTTCCTAGTAAAATTCCTTTGGTAAAGAAAGTGAGAAACACGATGGAATTTAAGAAGAAAGTAAGATCACAAACAAATGAAAATGTGGAGAAGTTGGTGTTGTTGTGGATCAGGGAAAATTAGTTAGCAGGAGACAGTGTTTCAGAGACAATCATTTGTGAATAGGCAAGGCAGTTGCATGCGGATCTCGACAGAATATTATTCAATATTATTCAGGCGACAGAATATTATTCAATATTATGCTAATATCAACTCTATGGCTTATTTATCTATCACAACTGATCTAATATGACATAATAAGCAATATAAACAACACAGAAACATGGTAAATACTCAAGAATGAATAAAATATGTCATTATATGGCAAGCGGTCGCCGTCACTCCTGAGGTAAAGTAATTATCCCTCTGACCATAGCTTCCCATGTGTCCCCTTCTAATGTATAAGAGATAATGGAGTTTTGGAGAGGCTAACTACACTAGATCATTAGTGCAGTAAGCAAAACGCTGAAACAATTGCGATTTTCTCAAAAAAAAAAAAAAAAAAAAAAAAAAAAAAAAAAAAAAAAAAAAAAAAAAAAAAAAAAAAAAAAAAAAAAAAAAAAAAAAAAAAAAAGCCAAAGAGGACCTACATTACGCAGGAGGAAAAGACACTGCCAGGACACAAGCCTATGAAAGACAGGCTTACCAAAGCCCCAGAGAGGGCTTTGATACCTGACGTCTTTATGGAGGGAGATTCCCCTTCCAAAAAAATAATCAGTCTTCCCTCTCTCCTCCTCCTCTGTCTTCCATAAGCCAACAAGCGTCTTCAGTAAAGATACGTACAGTAGACCGTCATTTAGCATGGTAGTTACGTTCTTGAAAATGCCGTGTTGGGTAAAATCGTGTCAGATGAACTGAAGACCTTATGGGTAAAATAGGGTTACGTTCCTGGGAGCCCCCAAAAAGCCAAACACCTTTTTTTAGGTCTCCACATCTTACAAAAACAAAAGTGAATATGTAGTTGTAGTTCATTGTTGTGATATATTATGCTGCTTTTACTGCTTAAGACGACAAATGTAACAGAAATAATAGTATTTCTTACCTTAAATTGTGGATGCTGGTGTTTGTGGATGATTGTGAAGAGAGTGGAGAGTTATGCTGTGGCCCTACTGGGCTGAGGTGGATGGTAGAGGTTCTGGTACTGAAGTCGATGGTTGTACTGGAGTGTTTAACTTTAAGTCATTCAGTCAGTCAAGTCATTCAGTAAGTCAGTCAGTAAAGTCACTCAGTAAGTCAGTCAAATCACTCAGTAAGTCAGTCAAGTAATTCAGTAAGTCCATCAAGTCACTCAGTAAGTCAGTTAAGTCATTCAGTAAGTCAGTCAAGTCACTCAGTAAGTCAGTCAAGTCATTCAGTAAGTCAAGTCACTCAGTAAGTCAGTCATTCAGTAAGTCATTCATTCAGTAAGTCAGTCATTTAGTCACACAAATTCATGTTAACCTCTTTTTCTGTGTACAAAGTAACACTTCATTACGGCTACAGGTTATCTCTTGTCTAATATCTTTGTTTCTTTGTTAATTCTAAGACTTAAGTGCTTATACCTCTTTGTGCCACTTTCAGCAACACTGGTATGGCTACTGGGTGTCATGATTGCTTGGCAGATACAAGATATAGTAATTAAAATATCATAACACAATTCAGAAACACAGCTGCCTTGTAGCAGAGAAAAACTGGACACGTATGAATTACGAACGCTGGGATGGTGGGGTGTTGTTGGGGAGTGGCAGGGGATGGCTCCCCGGCTGCTCCACAACAAGGCAGCTGCTTGAGCAAAAGAGAATTTTTTTTCCTTCCCACAAACTGAACCATGTTAAATTAATTATACAATGTGTTACATAAAATTGTGACACAATCCTTCAATCGTGCAATACCCAAATCGTGCCAAATAAACTCATGCTAAATGAAGGTCTACTGTAATAGAGATTTAAATGTTCATTTATTTATTTTATGTATTTAGCTCTCATTGTTTTGTGTATGTGTAAAACTACAGGTCTCCCCCCACATTCGGGAGTTCCACTTTCGTGGGCTTCGAACATTCGCGAATGCCCAGCTGCCCAATCATATTTCAAATATGTCATTACATATGTTAGGAATTGTGGCAGTGGCAGAGTTTGTTTGGAGATAGGACAAGATAGTCCTTCAATATGACACTAAAATCAACTCTATGGCTTATTTATCTATCACAATTCATCTAATATGACATAACAAACAATATTAATAACACAGAAACATGACATACAGGTCTCCCTCAACGTTCATGTTTTCAACTTTCGCGGGCTTCACACATTCGTGAATTACCAACCGCCAAATTCCCAGCCTTCAAATTCCCAGCCGCCACCTGCGAGTCCCTACTACCCTCCCTCCGACCCCCGCAA